CGCTTGAGCCACAGGCGCCGAGCCAAAACAACATAATTTTAATCCAAGTTTAAGACACACACAAATTACAATACCAGGTACTTTTTTGTAACACATTTTTGACATCATAATGCACTACACTGTTAAGGTACTACTCAAAATACTTTCCAAATATTCTGTATTTATATAAAGATAAATAAGTGTGCTATTACTCATTTACAAAATGACAATTTACTAATGAAAAGTAAAGAAGCAGTTACTGGAGTTTTATTTCAGAATTTAGAGACTTTCAGACGCTAGAAAGATAAGTGATAAAAATTTGGAAAAAATGTAAATAATATTTCTTCCACAAAAGAAACAAATTAAGAAGTCTTATAACTATGTTGGACATCAAAATCCAATATTACATATAATAAGCACTTGGGAGTTTTAATTTCCTATAAGCCAATTTATATTAACCAAAGGAAAAAAAAAAAACTGAACTCTTAGGACTCATTAGAGAAACTTAAAAAATTATATTCATTTTAGCTTTATGTCAGCATACTCTGAATATATCAGACATTTTTAACCTCTGCTAAAATACATTAATTTTTGAAGACTATGGTCATCGTTGATATATTGAAAAGAGAAAATAGTTTCTGATGAAACTTTGAGAATTCATTAAATGCCTTGGTAAAGATATGCGTCTTGAAACCTAGTCCCATATGCCATGAAGTTTGTAACATTACTAGTATTTTCTCTTTTGTGTGTGTGATAATAAAGGATATATTTCTCGTAAAAATGTAATCAATATATTGTTTAGTATTTAACAATTCTCTAGTCTAGAAATCAGCTTTTAATAGTTACATGTCTATCATTTGGCAAAATAACTACATAAATATAAAACTATATATTCCTAACGGAATTCATTGCCTTTTAATAATTTTTATTTCAACTATATAGCAAATATTAACTTAATGGTAACCCATGCCAGCCACTCTGCAAGTCCTTCTATGAAAAAGAAACTTCCCAATTGTAATTTTAAGATAAAGTAAAACAACCTGGAAAGTTATAATGAACCTCCAAATGTTCATCAGTCTTTAAAACAAGCTTTATTGAAAGCAGTGCACTCAAGTTAATGTATCATCTCATCCTTCTAAGGTTTGATTTCCTCATGATCTTAAAGACTGCTTTTACACGTAACAATCCTAATGATATCTAAGTATCCCTAGTACAAACATAAAATAGCTGATCTTCAAGATTTGGTTGAAAGAGAAATATTTAATCTTAAAGGGAAAATCAAAACTTCTTCTTAACTGTAATGTATATAGCATCCTAAATTGAAGACCAGTGCTAGTCGTACCACTTAAACACTTGTTCACATACTTAAACACTTATTAAATACAAAGAGTTTGAGGAAATTACTCCATGTATCAGTTCCTGACTTTGAATATTATTTCATAGAAATTCCATCATCAACTATTGGTGACCTAACGTTGCTAATGAAAATTTAACCACTAAGATTCTTTCTAAACCTATCACTTAATATAAACAACATTTTGGACCTCTAATTTATGTGAATAACACCATTACAATCAAATCCCCATCTCTTACATGTAAAGCAAGCAACTGTTTCATGAAGTCGTAATTTTTATTCCAGACCTTTACCTTTAGGAGCACTAGAGAGACAATGGAACGAACAGAAACTTATTGTCACTAAAGTTCACCTTATCATCTAGGCATAGCATATCTAATGGAATTCTTTATTAACTATCCTAAAATCTAATAAGTAATTATTTTGCATCTGCTTCTTCTGTTACCTTGAAAGGCACTGGCTCTTCAGTAAGAGGACTCACAGGCAGGGAAGTTGTGCTGCTCCCTGGGCTCATGTCTGCGCTCTGTAGGAGAAGCAGAAAGAAATTTAAAGGGATATTTTTGCAGTCGTTTTTATTTGTCTTAATTCAGAATCTTCTCTCTCTTATTCAAATAAAAAATGTATGGATGTAGAAAAATTATATCATGATTATGTAATGAATCATTTCTATTATAGAAATAAGTAATTATATAGGAAGTTAGTCAAAGAATCACTCTCCATGTACAATTTAAGTGCATTTCATTAACTATAATGGCCTTTTCTGTGTTAGGGTGGTATGAAGCACTACCTTTGCTGAACTTATATTTTTACCTCTTTTGAAAATTAAACTATTAATATACCTATAATGATCTTAAATTTCTTTTTTAATGACTTACAGGCTGATTTCACATTTTTTCCTCTATGTAGACTCAAATTATTATATTCAGGTTTTTAGATTATGTAAACATATCTGTCATTAATATATATATAATTACAAATTCAAGATCCATTACATTTTTAAAATTCATAAATTCTTAGCCCCTGACCTTTTATGACCTTTCTTACATTCTGTTCAATAAAATACTTAATAATAAAAGATAAACAAACACCAGGCATCCTCAAACAATGGCCCGCAGGCTACATGTGGCCTGCCTAGGACATTTATCCAGCCCACTATGGGTTTTTGCCACTGCTGCCTGTCCTGCTTAGCAGCCGACTCGTTCCAGGACCTGCAGTCCAGCCCTCCAACAGTCTGAGGGACAGTGAACTGGCCCCCTGTTTAAAAAGTTTGAGGACCCCTGATATACACCACTATAAGATAAATATTTCAATGTTGCAATGTAGATCTTATAGTCCTTTAAAAATACAATCAATTAAAACTTCTTAAATAAATTAGAGATTAGTGTAGAAAAAAATTAGGGGTTAGAAGTTCATCATTAACTTGCTTTTCTAAAAGCAAGAAAAAGTTGTTGACAATAAGTAGGAACAGACATTTTTTAGCATATTCTACACTCACTTTCTCAGAGGAATTCTGCCATAAAAGCAGATAAGCAAATAAAATATTGAAGCACTCCTACAATTTTCAGCTTGGTTTCCAAATATACATGTACACAAATTCAGAAAATTTTGCAGATTAAAGCAAAAGCATTCATTAATCTTTATTGAGAAAGGGAAGAAGTGGACACGCTTGGCTTACTTGACTCAAATTCCAACAGAACACATTCAATGAACAGAGGCTACAGCTGTACACATTCTGAAAGTCTCTTTGCGCTCAAAGAACATATTAAATGCATTTTATTCAGTAAGCAATAAACTGCATACAATTTAAATATCCACTTAGATGAGATGAGTACTGTCTAGTCAAAAAATCAAGGATACATGTAAACACAAAAATCAAAATACTCAGTATAATTTTCATATAGAAAGTTCCACACCTATTTTAGACATTGATAAAAGGTTGTACAGAGACTTATCATGCCTACAGGAGGATACAAAGTAAAAACTGAACAACAGTATGATAAAAGGAAGCAGGGAAATATGTATACCAGGAGGATCAGTTACTGACTGTAAAAATATCCAGAGTTCTAGGGCATTTATTTGATCAAAACCAGGAAATACAATGAAGGTTGACTCTCAAGTAGGTAATTATGTGATATAACAGTGAATGAAGCTTGTCTCACCAACTAATTTATTACTGAATTCTAATGTAAGAAAGACTTGAGCTTCTCTCAATGTTGGATTATTTTTTATTATGTTTAGACATTTATACTCTATGCTTAGTAAATTTAACATGTACCCTTCAACTTTACTAAGCATAGAGTATAAATGGTGGTCTCACCAATAACTCTCCCTCCACCAATCCTCCCCCCTCCCCTCTCCTCCCTCTCTTCTCCTCTTTCCCCTTCTTCTTGGGCTATAGTTGGGTTATAGCTTTCATAGGAAAGCTATAAATTGGTTTCATAGTAGGACTATGAAAGGAGGAGTACATTGGATACTTTTTCTTCCATTCATGAGATACTTTGCTAAGAAGAATATGTCCCAGCTCCATCCACAGTGTTAGACTTTTTATGAGAATTCAGCATGTGACAGAATGCAGTTAGTATAGCATTGAAAATCCTATAATTTGCCTACAGTATTGATAGTATGCATAACTTATTCAAGTGTTATGCCTTTAAAATTACATTGTCAGAAGACAAAAGTAGCATTCAGTCATGAAAATTTATAAGCCTGGATCACACTCTTTCCAATGAATGTTTTTAACTTGTACCAGAACATAAAGTCAAAATAAAGATTCATGGTAAATGTCTTTAAAGGTTGAGGTTTCCAACAACTTCTCTGAAATAAATGTATAATTCAAAGGACTGTAGAAAACACACACAAACTTTGCATCATCTAACACTGATTCTTTCAAGGTCATTGTTAACATAAACTGTAGTCTACCTGTAACTTTCAGATTCATCTTTCACTGTGACACTTTCTTTCTACTGTGCTTAGGAAACCTTGAGATATGTGTTTTGAAAAACAAATCAATATCATATGACATCTGATAAATTGCACTTAATTATCAAGTTGAGAAATACATAGGAAAGAATTAAATAAAAGTACCTTCATTTTTATCTTACTGTTTTCCCACTTGCTCTTCAGTGATCTGAAATTTAGACGTCATCTCACTTTGTTATTCTTTGAGACAAAATATTATTGCAAACCCTTTGGAACTATGTCACATCTCTCTTTCATATGTGGTCCTTTACCCTGTCATTCAATAGAAGCAATACTGATGCAATTGCATATCTAAATAGAAATTAATAAAGAAACTTCACAAGTTACATTTGATGTTTATAAAAGTTAACTCTATCTGTTACTCCACAATATTCTTTATAAAATAGTTTGTTAGAATTATGGCTTCCCCTGTTTTTGATGCATTTTGGTTTGTAATAATATAAAAATGAATCCCATGGGAAAACAGAATAGCTATTCTCTAAAAGTAGTAAATACCCCCAATAGAAGGGATCTCCTCAATTCTCATGAAACATTGGATATTTTGGCCCATTGGAAAATGCATGAGATATTTTTGACATGTTATAATAAGATTATCCTAATTCTAACAAGTACCCTTAATCTGGTTTTCTGGTTCTAAGTCCAATAGGCAACATACTTCTTTCCAATGCTATGGTGAATATGTAACATTTCTCCTGAATTCAAATATTATTTCACTCCATTAGTATAATTCTCTATTTTCTATTTCTATCCCATACAGACTAAGTTCTCTTTTATTTTTCTCCAATTGAGCTTAGCATTAATGTGATCTTTAAGTTCAATGATAAAATCTAACTAAGCATTTATTTTGGAGCCTATCAGAGATGTTCTGGTAAATATCACCCTGTTATCACTGTTCTCTAGAATTCTATTTGAAGAAATTATTTACTTTGAAAAACTATTTGCTCTTTTGTTGCTATTTTTAGAATATAATTCTCCCAAATTTGCAAATTTGAACTTCCAAATCACCATTTTTAATTAATTTTATTAAAATGTACCTATGATATAATATAACCTTTGAGTGTATAATTGGGTAAGTTTTGACAAACATAGTCACATGTTTAACCACTATCAAAATCAAGATATATGACAATTTTTTCACCTCAAAATGTTCCCTCATATGCCTTTACTCAGCTGTCCTCTATCCCTGGTCCTAGAAAACAATGACATATTTTCTATAATGGTAGGGGTTTTTTATTCATCTTCTCTAGAGTTTCATATAAATAGAAAACACACAGCATGAACTGTTTTGAATCTGGCTTCTTCACTCAGAAAAATGATTTTAAAATTCATTATGTCATTTTATTGCTTAGGTTAGCAGTCTATCCTTTCAAAATATTGTGTACAATTTCATGGTGGGCCAAAATTTCCTAATCCAATCACCTGTGAATGAAATTTTCTTGCTTCCCACCTTGGGCTATTCTGAAAGTGTCCACACTGAACACAGATGTACGTGTCTCTTTGTGAACACATGTTTTTATTTCTCTGAATAAATACTTAACATCGAACTTTCTGGGGTTTCTGGTCAATTTATATCTAGTATTGTGTTAATTTTACAGGAAATTGACAGCAGATTTTCAAAAGCATTGTAGCATTTAGCACTTCCTCTTGCACTGTGTTTCACCAACATTGGAATTATCATTCTTTAGAAAAAAAATTAGTTCAAAAGCTATCCATGTAACAAAAATATTTATACCATCAATTACTTTTTATTGTTTAGGGTTCATTGAAGGCACAAAGAATTAGGTTACCCTGATCACATTTCTTAGGTAAAGTCCCTCTTACAGACCTCTTGGCACACCAAGAGATGAGCCATACACCTTAACCCCCATTCCCCTCTCCTCGCTCCCTCGTTCCCCCACCCCCTACCTTGAATTGATTTGAGTTTTTCTCCTATGAGGGTATGTATTAAATCGTCTACTGGCTTCATATTAGAATTGAGTACACTGGATTCTTGCCTTTCCATTCTTCAGATACTTTACCAAGAAGAATGTGTTCCACCTCAGTTCAGGTTAAAGTCTCCATCTTTTTAAATGGCTGAATAGCATACCATTAAATAAGAGAAATTATCGATTCTATAGTGTGTAGTGATAGCTTACTGTGGTTTTAATTTTCATTTCCATGGGTATCTAATGATGTTGAGCATCACATCAAGCGTCCATTACTATCAGTGTATCACATTTTATGAAGATTCTGTTCTAATACACATATTTGCCTATTTTTAATCATTGGATTATTTGGAGATGAAATCTTTTTCATATGCATTTATTACAAAAATTGTTGCCTAGTTTGTGACTTCTATCTATATTTTCTTAGTATAATCAAAACAGCCAAATCTTCCAATTTATTTGTCTTTTTCATTTTTTATAGTTTGTGCTTTTGTTGTTCCCCATACAAAATCTTAACCTTCTTCAAGTTTACAAAGGTGTTCTTTTAGGTTTTTCCAGCTAACCTTCCATGTCAATTATTATGGCTGCAGAATGGTAGAGTTAGAGACTTATTCTTTGA